CTGATGATGGATATCTTTGTTGGTCAAGCACTGAATTGGTTCTTCACCGGAGGAGACTACTTACTATATGACACATATTATGAGAGAGGTTTCAGATACATTGATTATATCGGATTCGAAAGAAAATCCAAAATTGCTGCAGATAATTATCTCCCAAGAGATTAGGGAAGAGAGTATTACATTAACTACATTAAAAATACAGTAGTACCACATTTCAAAAGAGGTACACCAATGGGTCTTAATATAAACTATATAAATGGAGGCGGTCACGCTATAACCATGTGGGGATATGAGCTTGGCGATTATGATATGGTAGATGCTGAGGAATGTTACACTATGAATCAAGAAAATTTGAAGGTTAAAGAAGAAGACTTGAACAGTAAAAGAGGAGACTATATGATCACTTATTTCTATATAACAGATTCGGATGATGGATGTAGAGCTGTTGGTGGATGTGGTAGAGTTACTAAACCAAGTCCATTGGTCAGAATTCCCGTATTTTACAGAGATAATGGTGCTTATGTGGTGACTACTACTAATTGTGCTTCCTATGCTAAAGTTATTTCATTGACCACATTCAACGTAAACTATGGAGAAGTACCAGTGAAAAGAACTGCGTAATTAAGTTTTTTGTTGCTATATTTTAAAAATGTGACACATTAAGTCAGTTTAAATTAAAATTACATATTGAAATAATTACAATCTAAATAACAATTTAATAATAAACCAATCAATGCATAACAAACAAATTCATAATTATCAAATTATAATTATCATACAACATAAGTTTATAATAATATAAAATATTTTATTGTTATTAATACGTAAAAAGAACATTCTAATATATCAAAATAAAATGATTTTTTTATAAATTTATCAATATACCTTTGGGAGTCAATTTTTACAGCCCGAAATAGAACAAAATTTGAAAAAAATATAATTAGCGCAGTTCCGATTAGGACATGTTTCTCGATTTTGGTTTTAAGTTTTGTGTAATTTTTGTTTGTTGAATAACAAAAAGAACGCTCTAGAGCCGCCACGTCATAACATTTTAAGGATAAATTGCGAGTGAAAAAAACCCCGATCAATCAAATTCAATCTAGTCTATAAATAGTAACTATTATCAAAATTATAAAATTTGTCTTTGAAACCATTAAAACAATAAGTTTTTTTATAATTATTTTATTAAAAATTTTTGGATATACTATTATTTATTATAATTAAAGTTATATTACCATAAATTTTTATAGTGATATGACAACAAATTATACAAGACGCTTTAAAACAATTAATACCTTGAACAAATAGGTATAAAATCGTGTTAAAAACAAAATGATTGTGTAATAACACTCGTATCAATATAATAAAAACGTTATAAATAATTTAAATATTATATATCATTA